CAAAATTAGTGGCTCTCAAACCTAAAAGGGGTATTGGTACAAGAACTGATACACAGATCAAAAGAATTGAAAGTCCAGAAATTTATGGTTAACTTATTTTTGACAATGGGCCAAGACAATGGTGAGCAAAACAGTATTTTCTACAAATGGTCCTAGGACACCTGGACATCCATATGCAAAAGAATGAATTTGGACCCCTACCTTACACCATAAATAAAAATTAACTCAAAGTGGATTCCAGGCCCTAGTCGGTTTGGTTCAGTGGTTATAGCATCGGCCTGTGGACTGAAGGATCCCAGGTTTGGTTTTAGCCAAGGGCATGTACCTCGGTTGCAGGCTCTATCCCTGTCCCCAGCAGGGGCACATGCAGGAAGCAACCAATTGATCTGTCTCTCACATTGATGTTTCTCTCTTTCTCTTTCCCCACCCCTTCCACTTTCTCTGAAAAGCAATGGAAAAAATATTCTTGGGTGAGGATTAAAAAAAAAAAGTGGATTCTAGGACTAAATTTAAGAGTTAAAACTACACAACTCTTAGAAGAAAACACAGGTATAAATCTTCATGACCCTTGGATTAAGCAATGACTTCTTAAATATAACACAGAAAACACAAGTGTCAAAAGAAAAAAGAAACAGTTAAATGAGATTTCATCAAAATTAAAAGCTTCTGTACTTCAAATAACACTTCAATAAAGTAAAAAGACAACAAACAGACTGGGGGAAAATATCTGCAAATCATATATAGATAAGGAACATGTATCCAGAATATATAAAGAATGTACAACTGCATAATAAAAAGACAAATAGTTCAATCAAAAAGTGGGCAAAAAAGTGAAACAGACATTCCTCTAAAGAAGACATGCGAATAGCCCATAAGCACATGAAAAGATGCTCACATCATTAGTTATTATTAAATGGAAATCAAAACAACAATGACATACTATTTCACACCCAACAGATGGCTATAATCAAAAACAGATAAAATTGAGTATTAGTGATAATATGGAGAATTAACTCTCACACATTGCCAGTGAGAATGTGAAATGGTGTGGTCACTTTAGAAAACAGTTTGACAATTCTTCAAAGTGTTCAGCAGAGAGTTAACCATATAATAATTCCACACCCAAGAATGAAAATACACGGCCACACAAAAAGCTGTGCATGAATGTTCACAGTAGCATTCATAATAGTCAAAAGGTAGAGCAACCCAAATGTCCATCAACTAATAAATGTCTAAATAAAATATATATCCATACAATAAAATATGATTTGGCCATAAAAAGAAATTAAGTACTGATATATGCTATAATATGGATGTACCTAGAAAACTAATGAAAGATGTCAGAAAAGAAGGCTGCGTACTGTATGAGTCCACTTACACAAAATATCCAGAATTTATTTGAATGAAAATTTTTCTGAATTTATCAGAATGGAAAAATTTATAGAGAAATGAAGTAGGTTAGTGATTTGCTAGTACTGGGAAGGGAAAGAAGGTGGATAGAGAGTGATGCTAATACGGGTACAAGGTTCCTTTATTGGGATGATATTCTAAAATTACATTATGGTGATGATTGCACAACTCTGTAAATATACTAAAAATCACTGAACTTTGAACTTTATGGTATACAAATTATATATCAACAAAACTATTAAAAATCTAAAGGAGGTGACTTAACATCACTTACATTGACATGTGTAATCATATGATTCTTCACTTCAACACATCACACATTCACACATATACTTTTATCAGATACTAAACCTGTAGGGTTTTTTTTTTCTTTTAAATTACTTTAATCCAGAAATTCTACCTTAATAATATCATTTTTAAAAAGTTTTTCACCAGATGACTTGAACTGTTTTTATTTTGTATACACTCAATTAAACATCTTTTTGTTCTTGGAAAGAAATGTCTACAGATGTGTTCCTGGAGAACAGAATAGAAAAAATGAGATATCAGAATGTTCTCTCATAGAACACTGAACATAGGAAAACTTGTCAAGTAGTATAACCAGAGATGAACCAAATCCATGATTTTCTAGCCTGTTTTGGCATTTAGTGAATTCTACTTATTTTACTGCTTATCAGAATGTATATCTCTGTATAAATTCCAGCCTCCTTCCTCATTACCTCATCTGCATTTGGATGATGGGCTGCTCTGTTGTCTGCATAATGTTCATATATCTACTCAGTGAGCTCTGGCCCAAACAGCTACATTCACACTATATCCTAAGATATCTGTAAGTGATATAAAATGTTAAATAGAAGGATGAAGAATATGTTATTAGCACAGTTAACCCAGGTATACTGCATGTTGACAAGACATTCAGGCAGCAAAACTGTTATGGCAAACCTGATGAGACTACAGGTATCCCTCACAGGATAAAAGTAATCATTAAACTCCACAAATAAGCTGATTATTAAGAACAGAAATCAATACAGAAATATCCCACCTTCAGAGTTTGAGTCTTACCACTTGGACATCTCTACTCATACTATCTCTAATATGCTCTTTCATTTCAGAAATAGGGAACAACTATAAAATATCTAACTCCTGAAATTAGAAACTAGAACTCAAAACTGCATCCCACACTAGGGAAATACTTAAGCCACAGTGATTTATAAACATTTTAAGTTACTGATATTTTATGAGAATTAGTATTAAAAAGACAGCAGACATCTTAGAAGCTGCTTCTCCTGCCCCAGTCAAGCCTTCAGATAACTGCAGACTCAGCCAAAATCTAAACTGAAACCTCAAGAAAGATGCTGAGCCAGAACCACACAGGTAAGCCATGCTTTAATCTCTGAATTCTGAATTTTTATGAGGTAATAAAAGTTTATTGTTTATTTTTTATTTTGTTTTTTCTCCTTTAATCCTCACCCAAGACATGCTTAGAAAGAGGAAGGAGGGGAGAGAGAGAGAGAGAGAGAGAGAGAGAGAGAGAGAGAGAGAGAGAGAGAGAGAGAGAGAGA